AAAAAGTTATCACTTCAAAAACTGAAAACCCGGAAGGACTCAAACATAATCACCGACCCTAGTCACAAAAAGAGTAGGTGGGATATGTAGATGTCGTATACGTAATATATGGATTTATTGCCATGATTATTATCAGTGATTTTTGATACTATAGAAACCACTGTTATTATTTTAGTGATTATATTACTAATTATTACTATTTGAAACTTATAGTAAAAAACGACTAATCTGCAAATAGTTTTATTTCACATCTTTTGATCTCAAATTATCACTTTTCTTGACTTGCACTGCCTGATCCGTGTAATAGCTGATATGTGGAATATTTCCCAATGCTAATAAGCCTTGTAGAGACTCCTGTTCACGTAATGTCAATTCCTCAATATTTAATTTAGGGGTCAATTGCTCACTTTCGGTCAAAGTAATATCCTCACAAAATGTACTGTTACAGTGCACTGTACACAGTACACCATGGTAGCCTTTTCGCTGAACGTTCTGCTCTAAGATTTGAAATTCTTAAACAAAAGCTCTCCTTAGGCAAATTTCTGGATGGAATGGCACATCTTTTTAACTTTGGCTGCTTTAACATTAAACCTAACAAGAAAGCGAAAACAATTACTTAGAACAAAAGTGTATTGACAGATTCGAACGGATATTTGTTGTTTATTATCTTTGATACAATAGTATAGGTCATAAATAATAACAATCAGTATGAGAACGTAACAGTCTAATAAGCTGCATTTAATGTGAGTAACATACCTTTTGCACAATAGTCTTCATTTTCAAAGTGTTTTGAACACACTCGCATGAACTTGATCACGAGTTTTCCGATCAATAAGTTATGCTCCCATGCTTTTCGTTTATCAATCATTTCTTCTAATCCGAAACGATTAATAATTTTCAAAGTGACTCCACTATTTTTTGCAGGAAAAGCATGGAAATGTAAGCTTCTATCAGTTCCCTTTCTAGAATGGCAAACGTAAACGGAACAATTTGTATGGTACGCCGAAGTTTCGTACCTTTGATAGTGGTTTCATCAGAGATAGATGTCATCATGTAATAACAATTAACCGCACAACACGAGAACACTTTTAACTTTCACTCGACAGATCTTTTCTTAAATATTATAGACAAAATTCACAAATCACTTACAGTTAGACCTGGGAAGTTTAGTTCACCTTGCTGATTTCCATCTTTCAATCTCGGTCAGCAAAGTGAATAGTACAAAAGATTAGTTCGTTTAGTTCATTTAGTTCAGTAGGCTAATTTTTATTAWTGAGTGAAAATATCATAAATAAACGGTCAATTTAACTTTAGTTATTGGTTGAAGATGTTATTAATGAACTATTGCTCCGAATTTATTGTCGATATATTTGTTTACATGTTATTGGATATTTTCAATATAAACATGTGCGAGTGAGACGTTTTTGAGCAG